CTTTGTCCACCAAACCTTTGGTAAGATAGGCGACTTGCCTGACTGCAGGGTCCTGGTCCCCAAGCAACCTGTCCATATCTGCAAAGATAAACATTAGATCAGCGCTTCACAATGCATCCTGCATAACTCCCTCCCTCCCTCCCTCCCCCCCTCCTTCCTTCCTTCCTTCCTTCCTTCCTTCCTTCCTTCCTTCCTTCCTTCCTTCCCCTAATCGCTGGGAGTGGGGTGACATATAAATTTAAACCATCATCATCATCATCTCATGAAACCTAATGGGTTCCACAGAACACAGTTTGAAAAACCCTGGTCTAGACCTCTCTTATATGCCCAGTTTCCTTAGGAGGCAAGCTGATAGTGAATAAAACTTATTCTAGGTGAAATCCTTTGATGATTACAAGCTGAGTACCATACTTATGTCCTCCCAGGTAACTTCCTGTAATTCAGTGAGGCTTGTTTTGAAGTAATCAAGCATTTCCTTAAAATCAAGGATGGGCATTAAAAAAAAAATAGGGATCAGCATAACTATTGTGAGCTGCCCAAGTCGTTTGCAGACAGACAGCATCAAACAGAATGAACAAATAAATAAAGTACAGTTATAGTGGAAAGTGCAGAACAAATGCTCTGTTGTTTGTATGTTTTATTTGCTTTAGTAACTTTTTGCCTTCTCAGGACCCACTGATGCAGTCAACATGTCTCTTGGTTTATCTATTTCGGCCCATGATTCTCAAGTGTTGGTAAGCTGGTGTCTTTGCTAAGGTTGGTAGCAATGAGATGGGAGTTTTGGTAGCAGGTAGCAGCACTGCTGACCTTAGGAAGTCTCAAAAAGCCAACTGCAGGATTCTGGGTCCTTGGATGGGAGGCCACCTGGAATCCCAGCTGTAGTCTAATCTGGAAAATTGACAAAATAAAGTCCTGGCTGAAGGCAATGGCAATCCACTTCCATCTTGTTGCCAGGAAAACTATACAGGCACATGTCCATGTAGTTACAAGGAGTTAGTTTGACTCAAAGAAGACGTTACCTTCATCTTTTCAAAAAGATAGGTGCTCTTTTCAAAAATTGCATTGTTTCTTGGTTACATACAGATATATGTATCTCATGAATGATAAAACTGAGGTGGGAGAATTTTTTCTTCCAGCTCTGTATCTCTAGCTGATAACAAATTTAGAAGTCAGAAGCAGAAGGCCTACTTTTGCCACAAGAGCTGGATGACTGTGGGAAAGGAAAGTGCCAATGGGAGAAGAACACCTTGGGAATCATGTCTGAGCTGGGACTGGAAAATCCCCCTGTGGGTTCCTCCCGCTCAGTCCCTAACTGGCCCTCTCCTATAATGTCTTTCTGATATTTTCTGTCCCATGTGGGTAAATTTCCAGATTTTTAAGAATATGCCAAGTCCTAGTTAGAAAGAGAGATTATCTGGCAGGGGCATCTGCAGGGAGGGGTCCAACAAGTCAAGATGGTGGCCATAACCATGCTATCAAAGCCCTGCCCTCTTTTCATGTGCATCGTAATGCATGTTAAAAAGGGGTGGGGCTTTAATCTCAAGGTTGTGGCCACCATATTGGCCCCTGCAGACCTCCCTGGTACCTGAGCATGTGAAGAATGTTTTATTTTTAAATCAGGTGAATAAGCAGTGACTATAATGGACAGGAGGAATAACTTTGAGGAACAGGAGGAAGAGCCGCAAAAGATAAAAGAAATCTGAGACCTGGGCAGAAATGTAATTTGAGAAAGCATCTCAGACATGACTGTCCCTAGTTCTCATGAAGATAAAAGGGGGAAACACATTCAGACTTGCAGAATTCTGCTACTATAACCTTATAATAGAAGTAATATTGTTTGCATGTCTTTGGTTTCCAGGTTTGGTCTACCCTGGAGGCTTACATCAGTCTTGCAAGCCTGAATGGACTTCCCCTGTTTATCTTCATGAGAACTAGGGGGGGTCTTATCTGAGATGCTTTCTCAGGTTACAGTTCTGGCCTGGATTCAGATTTCTTTTATCAGCCTGTTCTCTTGGTTGTGGCTCTTCCTCCCGTTCCTCAAGGTTATTCCCTTTTCCCACTACATCAACACAACACTAGTGTACATGAATTTTAGGATCAAGAGGCCTGTGGCTCCATAAAGGTTTGAACAACAATGTCTTTTAAACATGGTTGACTTTGCCAGATTTTCTGTGTCTGATCACTGTAAACTGCTCTCCTTGCACCCACAGGTGTGTGGGCCCAGAGTGCATCAAACCTGTGGGGACTACATATATCTCAAAGGTTACTGTTTCCTCTTGGACCAGAATTTGAGGCAGACCCAACGCTTTCCTGATCAGCTGCCAGGTGAGATCCAGATGCAGGGAAAAACATGACAAAAGTTAGAGATCAACTGTAGGTTGGTAGGACAGAAGGAAGGGATCCAAGATCAAGGACTATCCTGGCTTAATTTTATGCAACAGCTGCCACCACCCCCACTCTGTGTCCTCCAAATGAAATTGGACTACAGTTCCCAGAGTCCTCTCTGCCAATCTGATCAACAAATACTCTGGCTGGGAATTCTGAAGTGGAACTGTGGCCCTGATTCATTTGGAGGGAATGAATCAACAAAGGCGTTGCTAGTAATTGGGGAAGGAAGGAAGCACAGATGGGAAGCAGGAATACCCAGGTCTAGCTGCTAATTTTAGGTTAGGAAACCATATCACTTCTCTGTGTATCAAAATGAGCATCATCAAGTGAAAATGCTTTTATTTAACAGCAGAGAGGGTATTGTAATGTAGAAAGTTAACAAACTGAGTTCACATCTCTTTTAAATGATAGCCTGGGAAAAGGTTGTAACTGTAAACCTGTTTTCTCCAAATTGAACTGAACCCTGGGGTCCGCCATTACTTATTATGCCCTATAACAATGTTTCTCAAGCTTGGTAACTTTAAGATGTGTGGACTTCAACTCCCAGAATTCCCCAGCTAGCCTTGCTTGTTGGTCTTAAAAGCTGCTAATGCACCAAATTCTTCTAGTTTTCCCATCAATGTTTCAATTCCCTTTAAAGGATCTTCCAAAATCAACACCAAGTCATCTGCCAAAGCCCTTAACTTAAAAGTTTCTTTTTTAATCTTTACTCCCACGATCCTCTGATCTTGTCTTATATGTCTATTCAGTATTTCAAGAACCAAAATAAACAAGGGAGGAGATAGTGGGCATCCTTGTCTTGCTCCTTTTTGTATCTCACGAGGCTTTGTTAAATCTCCATTAACAATTATTTGTGCTTTCTGTGAAGTAGAAATCAATCTTACCCATTTTATAAAGTTCTCTCCAAAGTTCATTTCTTCCAAAACTTTGAACAGGAAAGCCCAGTTCAAATTGTCAAAGGTTTTCTCCGCATCTAAGAAAATCAATGCGGCTTGTTTTTCATTATGTTGCTCCAAATATTCCAAAATGCCCAATGCGTTTCTAACATTGTCTTTTAGCTGTCTTTTAGGTAAAAACCCACATTGATCCTAATGAATAAATTCTTGCAAAATTAGTATAAGTTGAAATATCTTTTTTGGTGTGTAAATGGAGCTGCTGTTAAAAGTATGGGTAGTTGAAAATGTGATGGTCCCTAGCTGCTGAATGAGAAATACTACACCCCTCTCCCATGCTTGGGCAAATCTACCAAACAGCTCTTCTAAGCGAATGTTGTTCATTCTAGCATATAATACCTTTACATTCTAATTATATGAATGTATACTCTCAGGAGATCCAGATGCACTGAGTTGAATGGGGCTTCTGAAATAAGTGTGCACAGGATTCTTGTAGGGTTACACACAGGGATGAAGATCAATTCATTTCAAAGAAGAACATGGGCCAATTAAATGTTGGTCATCTTACCTCACATGCACATACCCACACATTCACACACACAATCCTGCACTGAGATTAGAAAGTGGTTGATTTTTGCATTATCAATTTATACTAGGATTAAGTCATCTGCTTGACTATGGACTCTTCTCTCTCTTTCATGTCCTTCTCCATTGGCCTTGCCTTCTCTAGAATGTGCCAGACGTCCCGCTGACATTGTTTTTCTGATTGACGGTTCAGGAAGCATAAGAAACTATCAGTTCTCACAAATGAAGACATTTATTTCTGAGGTCATGAAGCGTTTCCAAAATACAAATACTCAGGTAACATTAAGAGATCAGACATTGGATGAAAGGATAATATTCAGAGTGGAAATGTTGAGTCCCTCGCTAAAATCTACAGTAGTAATATCATCATGATTCAATTTCTTACTGTACCAAAATATGCTCCTTCTAGTTATGATACTCAGTCTGTGGCATTTTTCCATACTGTGTTTGCTAATCTCTTATAACTGGTATGGGAAACATCTGATATTATGTCCACTTTCATATCTTCCAACAAAAGTAAAAAGAGAATGCTTATGTGCAGTTAAGCCATAAAACTATTTGGTTTGTAAAAAAAACAAACAGCTGCAGAATCTTGTAGGGGACTGTTTCTGAACAGGTTGGTCCATTGGAAAAGGACAGAGATGTAAGGTCACCAAATTCAATTAATCATAGACAGTTTGTGCAGCTATTTGAAGCTTATATTCCTGCACCAATGTATATGACTCACACCACTCTACTCTCCATCTGCCCCATCTCTTTTGTATTTTAACCAGTATAACTTAAAAGAAGCAATATATGATTATTCTACTTTTGTTTAAAGAGTTCATCAGAAATAAGAGTAAATAAAGAGGTTTTGAAAGATTTTAGGCTGTTGTGAGGAATATGCTAGGCATCTCTTAGATAAAGTCACTTAAAATCATGCTCCAAGTTGGACTCTGGCCTCAAGGCAGGTCCTATGAGGATGATGGAGGCTTAGTCTGGCTTGAATTTGATACTGTTAGGCCTGATGAAGTGGGCAGGATTCTTGGAACTGTAGGCTCATCTGCTTGTCCCTCTTGGTTGACTAAGGCTTTCTGGGAAATGATGTGCGATTGGGTCCTGATGGTGGTGAATTTGTCATTGAGAGAGGGGGTACTCCTGCTGATGCTTAAGGAGGCAGCGGTTCGCCCTCTCCATCATCGGCCCAATCATACTGGACAATTTTCATCTTGTCTCCAACCTCCCCTTTTTAGGGAAGATGATTGAAAAGGTGGTTGTGCTACAGCTTCAGAGAATATTGGAGGAAGCAGATTATCAGGACCCCTTTCAG